AGACCACTTGAAACGAAAGAATGTTTTGATTTTTGCATGCAGCCAGTTCAGCTGTGGGTTATTCTCCCACTGGGAAGAGTAATTGCTTGTTGATCTAATGTTCTATCCCCTCCTGTCCCTGAAAAACCAACACATTTGATGAGTCATGGGTCTATGTGCTTTCTTCATTCTGCGGGACAAGAACTCCTGGCCTCCTCCAATCTAAATATTCACAAATCAAGAGAAAAGACTTTGGGCTCAGTTCCAAATTTGATGAAGCATATCGCTGCTCAGCCCACCGCTGCCCGCCCTTACGATACCTCAGAGGGTTTGCTAACATTGTTCGCATCACTTTCTCATTCTTTCTCTCTCCGTCTCTTAGCCCATTTCTGTTCCTTCCTCCCTCTCGCTCTGTGAGGCAGATTCGTGAGCAGCTAATTAATGAGTTTAATGCTAGGATTCATGCACATATTATGGGTCAATTAGAGAAAGAGCCTCAGCTCCGAGGTAGGAGTTATAATCTAGAAGGACATTTATCTTGTGCTGAGTGTGAGCTGTTGTTGTGAATGTGTGTCGCTGCCTGTTTGTTTTACCCTGGCTGTCACTTATCTCCCCTCCTGAAATGCTGATCGCGGCATCTTCAGTTGACCAAGGAGAGGCATTCAATTACACCAGGTTCTGTAGGACATATGCTAGTCAAGTAGCGGAAAATGTGGGTGCGCCATTTCATTTAATGGGGTCAGCAGTGGCTACATGTGTCTCTCTGTAAATCACTTAAGTGAATGAGTTTGGGAGGTCGGGATTGCACTGATGCCAATACGGGAGTGTTTCTCAGTGTGTGTGTTTATTTAAGTGAGTGTGTACTTGAAAATGTTTGTGTATATGTGTGTTGGCATTTTTCAGCTCACAAGTTTGCCTTGAGGCACTTTTGCAGCGCTGCTATCTCAGACGGCTGATTCAGCACAGTCCTCTCTGTTTTCTCTTCACTCTTGCCCATTTATGAGTGTCCAGGCTAACTGCTGTCTGTCTGTAAACACACAACCCAGGGGGCAGAACCCAAATGCACAAATACTCCTCACACCCCATTAAACACACACTGAACAACTTATGGTGATCCCTTTTCCTCAGAGTCAGGGCAATATTTTTTCCAGTGTCTTTGTGTGTTGGCCGTGTACATGCGTGTGGTGCTTCGCTTCACCCAGATGTATTTTATATAGCAAAGATGATGACACATAAGTTCTCTCCCCCGCTCCTACTGAAAATGAATTTTTGATCTGTGTTTTATCATCTTGTAATCTCCGCTATCTTCGGAAGTTATTACTTTATAAAAAGGCTCTGCAGCTGGTTTGTGCTCCACCGTATGGGGAGGGTTTTTTAAGACTCTCAATGTTCTTGTATTAGTTGGATCTCAGTATTCTCCTCACACATCACATGGAATCTGTGTTATAAAAGTCAAGAGAGGTCAAAAACTCCCTCTCCCACGCACTAAAACAGAAGCTCACACTCCCTTGTAAAAACACTATTACCTTTATAAGGCTCTCTTATAAACCCTATAGACCTTTATATTCCCTGATACATGCATCGACAGTTTGGAAAGCTATGTTTTTTTTGCACAGTGGGACATCCTTGGGCATTGCAGCTGTGATATGCCTCACAGCTCCTAGGGTTGTTTTATAAGCTGTTTGGGGTTGTTGTGGTTTGGTCATGTATGTGATAGTCTGGCTGTGTGTGGACACTGTTGTGTGACTAGACATGAGGTCAGTCAGTTAGCCTCTGGTGTCTGTCAGCCCCACCAAAGGAGATAGGAGAGCAGCCGCCGTTGGGGGCAGCAGCTTGAGTTGTGTGTGTGCATGATGCCACCTCTTTCCCTCTCACCTTCTTTCTTTTTCACCCTTTCCTCATCTCTCTATCCTTCACTAACAGCCCATCAGAGATAGCTGGCTGAATGGTATGAATGGAAGAGTCATAAGAGCAGGAACCTGCCCTTTTTACAACATAGTAAAGTAGACGTTGGCTTCCTAAAGCCAGCCTCACAGTGAATTTTTTATGAAGCGTAGCATTTTTTAATTCAATCTAAAATGCCTGTTGATACACAGGTCTAAAGGATTTTCTCACTTAGTTCTCACTGTGCCACATCATCCACTGATTTGGCAGTGAGGGGATGTGTCACCAACTCCTTAGTCAAATAGCTTTTTAACAAGCTCCTTGAAACTATTTATGTAAAGGGATTTTAGTCAGATACAATAAAACTATTTTGCGTTGAGCAAATTCAATGTTGTTTTTACTGATTTATTTTTCTCTAAATATCTAAAATGCTTAACCAATGGCTCGTTGTTGTTTTTTTTAAACCTGACAATATATTGTATTGTCTGCAGAATTATTGTGTTCTTTGTATATATCTTTGCTGTGCATACTCAGAGTGATTTTACTTTCTAAAAGCATTCTTAAAAAGTGTTTTAAACATTTTAAACAAGTATACCCTACATCCAATTCCTCAGCTTCAGTCAAGCCTTTACAATCTTTTACTCTGGAAAATAGTAGCAGCTGGACGCATTCTAAGATGCTTGTCCCATTAAATGTATAACCCTTCCCCCTCTGGAGTTCAGTGGCACCACAGCTTCCTCCCCCATCAGTAAGCCTGCTAAAATATTAGACATTTATCATGGTTATTATAGTCAGTAAATCCTTCCACAAAGTGCAGAAACCCCCACTGCTTTGTATTCTTTTGGGATATGAGGGTAAATGGATTAGGTTATTGCTTGGACAAAGGCATCAACCAAAATAATCTTTGTCCGCCTCCATATCCTTTAGAATTTAGGACTCAAACTAAAGAAACCAACCTCCACTAACCAGAGACTTTGCCTCATGTGGAAGTCTTACAATCTTAACATAAACATACTACTGAGCTACAGTATCCTGTACAGTAAGGTAGCTCATCTTAGTTTAGCAAAAAGATTGGAAACTTATTTTTTTTAACCTCTTAAGCACGGCGGTCCCCCCATTGGACCCCTCCCACCTTTTTGTTTTCGAGATAATGTCTCAGGGCTTCTTAACATTTATGAAACTATTAATGTGTAGCACCAAATTAACGGGAAGAATCTCAGCTAACTGAAGATATGAACCATTTTTACCAAAACAAAACACAAGTCTCATAAGAAGGGTCTAAATGACCCCTGAGCGAAAAAATTCTAACGCACTGCGGCACACAATTCAAGATAAAGATACCCTTATTACTTATCGTAGCTGCACATACAATATAGCCTATTAAAGCTGAGACTCCACTGATTATTTAGGTATAGTATCATCACTGAGCGATCCGAACTTGCGACAGGGGAAGCAAACACAGACATCACAACACGTACCTTTACGGAGGTTTTACGGCAGATCGTCTCACCGTAGCTGTCAATTAGGTCAAAAGACGTGTTCAATGGCATTAAAACGAGGAAAAAAATGTCTACAACTGTTGATCCATAGGTTGATAATGTACCTGTACCTTTTAAAAAATTATTTATAATCCATAATTCCATTTTTTATGTAAAAATCGGAGCGGAAAAGTTAGCTGCTGTATGCAGCTTCCGGTTTTGGTAACGCGTCACTCTCACTCCTTATTTGTTAACGTTTTGGTGTGTATATAACTTTCCCTCGATTCCATTGGCCCTAGCGGTTATAAAGAGCTTTCATTCATCAAAATCGACCAAGGGGGGCCAGAGATAGGTCAAATCCACCCAAATGACCCAGAAGTGGGGGTTTTTGGCTAAATCTCTCTAAAAAGGTCAAATTTCACTTGTTTTGCATCAATCTTGATACAGGGTACTTATTATATGTTGTACTTTGGATTCCTAAAGCTTTTAGTCTACTAACCCATCATCCAAGGGTAGTTTTCACTATAAGTAAAAAGTTATTTTTGGATGGACACTATAATTTACAGTTTTTTACTATGTAAAATCTGAATTTTCTTTAAAATAAAAAACATCTATATTGATTCTGACTTTTCTACATCCAACTCACAGGTTTATCATTACTTTGAGAATAAAGATTATTAATTTAACCCTTTTAGAAGGGAAGATATGGTCATTTGTTCTGGGAATGTCATTTTCGAGCCTGAGACCTGAAAAACAGGCTCAGGGCTTAAGAGGTCTAAACATTATTGAAAATAAAACACGGGACACTAGGCAACCATTTTCATGCCACTATCAATCCTATTAAACAGTTGTGTTAAAAGAACCGGGAGAATACATATTGAAAAACTGGCACTAAGCCTTTTATATTTGTACTGGTGTTGTTAGCATGTGGTCTTTGCAGGTCTTTTGGTAGGAAACACTGGAGGTGAAAAAAAAGACAGAACCTTGTGAAATCACTTTTTGCTAGGCTGGACCGCCAGTCAGACAGTTCTACCTTACTGATTGCCTCAGCCATTGATTTAACAAGCTGAAATGGCTGAATATGAGCCAATGGCCATCACAACAGTGCAAAAACTACTGACGATTGGCCACAGGCACACCGTTATCCAACAGCACCTGATGACCAACTTTCTACTGGATTCTGGATTTTGAATCTACTGATTGTATACATTAGGATATTGTTCATGATTGTAAACTCAGTAACAAAAGGAATAGTTCAACACTTTTGCCAAGAATTAGATGATAAATTCAATCCTCTCTCATGTCAAAAATTACGCAATACACTGAGCAATAAGTTCTCTCATCAACGGGGGCAAACAACTACAAAAGTCCACCTACCAGCACCTCTAAAGCTCAGTAATGAAACAAGCACATCTAATTAGTTTATTCCATACAGTAACCAAAAAAGAAACACGTACAAATATGTAGTGTTAAAGGGGATGTGTGGGAATATTTCTGGTAAAATTAAATATACATTTTTTGTCTCAGTCTGTTTTCATCTCTGCTTACCATTCTAGCTGATGTATTAGACCCAGATGTCTGACTCATGCATAATCCTTTGCTCATGGTTTTTCTCAGATTTTTTCCCCATTTTCTGACATTGTTTTTCTGTTTTCACAGCATGCCCGCCGGGTACCTTCAAGTCAACCCAGGGTCCAGGTCTGTGTCTACAATGCCCTCCCAACAGCCGCTCCACAGCTGAAGCCGCCACCATCTGTGTGTGCCGCAACGGTTATTACCGTGGTGATGCTGATCAGCCGGATGAACCCTGCACGAGTGAGTACATTGTACATGACATGACATAAACACTCCAACAATGTCACACTCTTACATTCTTGTACGAAAAGTACCTTATATAGGAATCCATGTGGGCACTGTCCATTTCAGTGTAAATCTATTTGAAAAAGGAATGATAAATATATACAAGCCACTGTATTTGCAGAATGACAAAAGTGTAGAGATTTTTTCCCATCTTACTTTGTCTGTGTCTTTCACACTATCATCCAACTAGCACATATTGTAGCATTTTAAAGGGCGTCTATCCAAAACCCTGGTTGGCTTCTAATTCTGTTCATAATGATCACATTTGAAGGTTTCCGTCATTGACGTCTCTGTCACTCTGCCAGAGAGCTACCTCTCTGTCTGTTGAATTCTGAGTTATTTCCTTCTCTCTGTCTCCTTTTCTTGCTGCTGTTCTTTCGTTCTTTCTGTCTGCTATCATCCCCTGAAGTCCTAATTACTCAGGCAGATGCTGCGAAGCTTCGACACTGTCCTGCCGTTATCCACTGGAGATCCAATAAGGCCTCTCACAGCATTGTAGTTATCTTAATATGATGTAAAAGCAATATGCTAAGCCTTCCTGACGTTCCCTGCTGACACACAGTTACACAGAAGGAGAGCACTGTTAGACCCCAAAAAGTTTGTTTACCTCTCTTCCTTCGCTGCCGCTAGGGAGTGCCTTAATGGTTTATACTCCTAAACAGCAGACCTGGAAGCATTATTGGTGGGGTTATTCATTCTTTTATTCCTGATTTATTCACATAGACCTGGCTAATTGGCCTAAGAAATGGGCTCAGGACCAAACTCCTTTCCTCATCGCTTAGCAGTTGTAGAGTTAAAAGGTAAAACGTGTATTGCAGCGGTTCCCAACCTGTGGGCCGCGGCCCCCTAGTGGTCCGCGAAGGCATTGCAAGTGGGCTGCCAAATAATTGTATTTTTTATTTATTTATTTTTATTTTTTATTATTATTATTTAAATGTATTTATTATTTTGTACAGGCTAAAGACACAAACATGGACATAACAATAACATATAGGAGATGACATTCCCATCTCAGACAAAAACAAAACAAAATCAGAAGAAATAAAGATACAGTCAGTAGGATCACTTCAACCAACCAAAAACCACCAAAAACAACATGGCGAGCATATTTATTGTTCCTTTAATCCCACTCTTCGTTGGAGCTAATTATTTCCCATTTCATGGTGTGATGAGCCTTTGATTTGTTGTAGCAATAATCTTTTCCAAAATAAATTGTATTTTTAATCTACTCTTCAAACACCTTAAATTAAGATTACTCCTTGATTGACTTTTAGAAATATGTATTTTAGCCAGAAGAATAGTTGTATGTATTAACTGTGTGCAGTCTTCATCTAAAAGCCCAAATACAATATTAAAGGGTGTAAATGTAAATTCAATATTTGCCGCCAAATAATTTGCAAAACATTATGATTTGTGTGGAAACATTTTCATTATTAAGATTTATTTTGTATTTTAACCTCTTTTCCATTCTTTCTTGATCCTCCTTAGCAACGGTCATTACAGTCCTTGACAGCGGTCTGTTATACTGGATTAACAACATGTCAGATGTTCTGAATTGACCAATCAGAACTTTATTTAGCCTCCGTATTGTTTATGGTTGAATGTCGGCCGCGAAAACATTTTTTATTCTTAAGAGGGCCCTGAGTTGAAAAAGGTTGGGAACCGCTGGTGTATTGAATGCATCTCCTATGTTGTATTTTGTTTTTATAACTCTGAATACGATGGGCCTTTAAGCTGCAATGGATCCCCAAAGCAGACTAGCTGCTTGTCTGACTGCTCTAAAGCTTCCGAAACATAGCCGTCTACACCTTTAGGCTTTGGATGTTCCTCGACGGATGACACCCCATTTTCACCTTGAGTTTTGTCCGCCTTATATGCTGCTTAGCCCCCGCTGAATTAGTGAACGCTCCATCAAGTATAGCATCTGCCTCTACCTTGAGGCCTAGAATTTTCCCCAAGCAATTTCCACAACAGCTCCCCAGTGGAGCTTCTTGAACAGATCCCTCTGGATTGTGTTCAGTTTCTGATTGTAGCCTTTTTTACTTATTTCTGCCTTCAATCACACCACTTCAATTTTATCTTCTCTGTCAGTTCTGTCCGTCTTTTCTCTGCTTCATACTCTATTTTCCTCTAACGTTCAGTACAATTTGAACTCTGTCAATATCTCAACCTTAAAGGTGGGGTAGGTAATTTTGGAGAAACCAGCTTGAGTGCGCTCAAATTTGAAAATACACAGCCGGAACAAATCTGCCACTTCCTTACAGAGCCCCTCCTCCAACACACACAAACGCACACATGACCAATGAGGGCACGAGATAAGTTTGTGCACAGATGGAAGGCTGACAGGCAGGTAGGCCATCCAGTTATTTTAGCCGGGCCGGCTAAAATGATTGGTCGTGCTTTTTACAGTACTACGGCTTCCACAGATGAAATGTTTTAATGGATTTTTTGTCAAAGCACTTAAGATATTCATTGCTATCGGGATGTTAAGAGCATTCCATGGAATATAACAAAAAGGGTATCTCGAGCCGGTTTCTCAAACTTACCTACCCCACCTTTAAGGTTAGAATATGTATGGTTTTTAATGATAACTCAAGTGCCAAGTGGACATACAAGCATTGTACACAGAGCCAACCATTATTGATCTATTTATCAACAACAACCAAAGCAAGGCAATATATATATATCCCATGAAAAATAAAGTCACTTTTTTTACATTACCATCTTAAACCAACTTCAATGCCTCCTCAATTTCGTTGGCAGATTTGTTTTCCAACGGCACAATAGAACACTTCTCTGACGTTTGCCTCATACAGTATAGCAGCTGAGCTTGATGCTCATGGTGCCCTAGATCTCAGCAGGGGGAGGCAGTGAGATCATCCTAGTAAGAATCTTTTTAATACTGCCAGTCCTGATAAGAGCACTGCTTGAGTAGCTTAAATCAGGCCAATATGTAGCGGCAGAAGCTGTAGCTTAAGCGCCTCTAGACACCATCAGAGGCGCGGGTCCAAGTGTGATCCTGATCAGTCTGATTAGCTTCCTGATGGATTGTCCAGCACCTGGCTCTGTCAGCAGGGGGGCTTCATGCTATAACCCTCCCCCCGCTACTTTTCCCTCAGGGATATGCTATGCCTTGGATGCACTTCAAACTCCTCTCCACCTCCCATACCTCCTTCATCTCAATCCTCTGTCTTGTGCTGACTCCTGCCATGCCTGTGAAAAAGGAACACCAGGCGCTCTATCTCACAGCGTGAAGCCCACTCCTCTCAGCTTGGCTACCCAGCATAGTGAGCTTTGGGACAATGGTTTGCATTGCACTGCATCCTGGTCCTTACCCCCGGATGAGAAGAAAATGGATGTACATGTGTTTTGGGGGAGGTCAGCCAGCTCCCGCATGCTGGGCCAGGGTTTTTTTCAATATCTGTGAGCCTCAGAAAGAGAATGACGAGATGAGATGTAATAGACGGGAGTCGGGCAAACCAGTGCTGATTGGTCCATAGGGGAGATGAGATGCGGTGATGGAGCTCCCTGGTGTGAGAAATGGTGGTAAAGGGAAGGAAATGATTGCAGGGAAGGACTGATGACAAAGTTAGACAGTAAAACAATTAGAAAAAGAACATCAACACATTGGCTGTATTTGTATCTGTATGTTTAAGGTAGAAGAAGTGATGGATTAAAAGAGCTGTCTAGGGAAGTTATACACAGCCCACAGTAACACAGAGAGTCACATTCAAGCAGGATTCAAAAAAGATAAATAAAACAGGCTGTACAGTATATGCAAACCACCACTGCCAGTCACCAACCAATTTATGAGAAAACTCTTTGGAATGTAATTGAATCAACATAAATACAGGGGAAGAGAAGGAACATAGGATGGTTCTGAAGGCTTTCTGCATTCCAAATCCATACCACATTGGCTCTGATTCTTGCGGCTCTTTCTCAATACTCATATTTGGCCCGGCCCCTGAAAACCCCCTTGAGCCCTGTCAAACACTGTCTGCGCCTCGTAAAAACAGGGTTATCTATTTTTCCATTTTCCTCTGGAGTCCATTTAGATTTTGTTCTTCTTTACTCTCCTATTTACTGTCTCTCCTCTCTCCCTGTTCTGGTTTCAAAGAGGCAGTGGAGGGAGCCGTCAAAGAGCATACATATTCTGTTCTATTATCCAAGTGTTTTTTCTCCATGAACTAAGTTGTCAGTTCTGGAGTCAGTTGAGGGTGCCTCCCAAGCCGTCCACTTGCCAGTTTCCTCTCAGTAAATAGCAAATGGAGATAAGTCAAGGTAATTGTTTGGCCTACTCTAATCCCTGGGCTTGCTTGGAAAACATTTCAGACATGCATGCACACAAATGTCTATCTATCGCATCTAAAGCTTTGGGTGCAGTGATTGAAAGTTGGAATTACAGTAGAGATTATTTTAGTCCGAGAAGCTTCCCCATATTCATGTTGCGTGTCCTGAGACAAGTCATGTGGATGCACCCACATCTACAAAACTGCACTGCATGCTACCATAACACTAAAAGTCTATCAATGACCCCCTCAGTCTCTCAGCCAGACAATATTAGTCCTTATAACATGTTTTATTTCACGTCTCACCAGCCCACACAGCCCTTCTTTATTTGTTCCTACAGTAGCTCCTCTGGCTGTGATCAGTATCTCCACACAGGGACCTTCTGTTGATCCCTCGAGACCTGTTTCACATCATAAAAACAAGCCGTTTGAAAGAAGAGAAGCTCCGGTCTCAGACCATTCAAAGGGTAGATAAGTGCACAATGTGCAGAAGTGTTTATTTCAGGCACTGGGACACTCTTTATATTAGCAGCCGAAAAGGGAAAACTGGGCTCAGGCTTTTAAAGCCCAGCTGGCACCTTTAAGCTTCCTCACACTTTTACAGTACATTTTAATTAAAAAGTGATCCATCTCTCTCTTTTGGTCTTTTCTTGTTCAGAGAGAGGGGTTCAAGCGCTGTACTTGCTTGTACCTTTTACATTTGCTTGGGATGTTCATGCCCCCACACAGCTGTAGAGTGATAAAGGAAGGAGGATGGTAGTTCAAAATATCTTTACAGCTCAGTGACAGTTAATATGATCAACGTTTCTTTTTAAAATAACTTTCTCTAGATTGTCACGTAAAGTGGATTATTATTATGGGGTATTGTTACAAAGACTTTTACTTGACTCTTTTAGTCAAAACGTTTTTTTCCCCCAAGAAAGGACTTGCATGTCAACACAAGCAAATCTAATTGAGTACATTTACGGTTACTAAAAGCAGTAACAACATTTTAAAACATTTAACTTTAAGCCATTTCAGTTTCATTGCCGTCCTCGTTGCCCTTGCACACATGACCTGACACTTAGCACTGGCTGTTGTGATTGCACAGTTAAAAGGGAGCCCTTGGAGCTGCTTGGAGGTGCTGTTCTGCTCCTTTAAACATAAGTGAAAGCAACGTGTATGTGAGCACAACTAAATCTGACTGGCAAGGCTAAATGAACACATGCTGAGTGCCTGTAAGTAACGTTCCCAACAGATTAATCCTATGGCCAATTAAAACAGCCAAAGGCTGCAGTCTGCAAATCACTGGTTAAGTGGCCGTCACATCTAATTTCTTGTGCCATCCCTGCTTATGTGAAGCTTGAAGTAATTGGGACGAAGGGCTGTAACACCTTGTTCACACCTCAGCCAAGCAAAAATAAAATGTCTTCTATCACTGTAAGAATACATTGATGCAGACAGTGCAGGCATGAATACACAGAAACAGATAATACCTCTGTGTGTGTTTGTGTCGCATGCATTTTCCACTTGAGCAGATGTGCATTTATTTTCCCTACGAAGCAACTTTGGAGTGGAGTGCATGTGTGTGATGGATTATACAGAGGATACAAGTGGCGTGAGTAACATATGAAGTGTCTATTGTGCATTCCCCAAGGGGAGAAGCTAAAATGCTGCCAATTCTCTAATATGACCTGTTCCTACCGGCACACACCCTTTTTTTCTTTGTCTTTTCAATCCATGGACATCTGGTAGCATCCAAGGACCAAAGTATGTGTCATCTGACCATGATTCTGGAGCACTAGCTGTCCTTTCAGCCAGACCATAATAATCACACTGTGGAGGTCACACCCTTCCTGTCACTGACCTCTCTGTTGTTGAAGCGCTGGGCTGAGGTCGCAGCAGTACCAGTGCCGTTCCCTCACCCCACGTGTGTACTGCCGCTTTGTCCCAGCTTCCTAGGGCTGTCCCACGTGGTTCTGCTGCAACAATGATTAATTGTGTCTGTGTTGACTGAAGTAAATGTCTGCCCTTAGCTCAGAGAAATGGGAGTGTTGTTTCATAATATGCTTGAAAATCTATATGTGTGAAAAGAGACGAGGGAAGAGAGCACAGAATGATTGAGAGCTGAGTAGTTCTTAAAAGGTTTTGGAGAACTGAGTGGATTTTTTGTTTCACAGTAGTCATAGATTTAGAAGTAGGTCAGTTAAACTCCTCTTTTAATGATAAAGGTCAGGCTTTATGGAGGATAAATTGGTACCACATCAGCTCTGCAGGGCAGCCTCACTTAACCTAAGCAGCACTGACTAAGGGCTTTGCCAAGCTTCTGCTTTATCGGCAGTGTCTGGTATCTGAGAAGAAAGAGCTGCCTCTGAGCAGCTGCAGGGACACAAAGTCTCAGCGAAGCAAAATTCTAAACTGCCATTTGAGCAGATTTGAACTTTAAACTTATTGTGCTTCAATTAGGGGGAGCTGAACAAGCCACTTTTTTTGCACCCCAATATCAAGCCACTACTCAAGCAAGACAATGGTTTTATATTTTCTTCAGTTTTTCTTAATATCGTCTTTGAGCTTCTGCTCCAGCTGCAGGCTATGAGGGAGTGAATGGGAGCGTGAATCTCCAGAGACACTTGGAAAAGAATACTCCATGCAACACTGCATTTTGCTGAATAACCAATGTTTGATAGACACAAATGTTTCGCTGTATGATCTCTCTAGGTGTGATTCGAATAAATTAGCATTCAAATTGTGCTGAAAGATAGAGAAAAAGACAATTTAGTCTTTGACAACTAAAGTATTACGGGTTTGTAAATTGACTGAATTGACCTAACAGTAAGGAGATTAATGAAACAATTGTTCTTGATAAGCAATGTGCTTCAAGGATCACAACCGTTCTGATATGAATTGGTTCTAGATGTTAAGGTACACACTCAATTGGCGTACATCTGTTGGCTGTCTGTCTACAGGTGTCCCATCAAGCCCAAGGAATGTGATCTCCATTGTGAACGAAACCTCTGTAATCCTGGAGTGGCATTCTCCCAGGGAGACGGGCGGCCGTGAAGACGTCGTCTACAACATAGTGTGCAAGAAGTGCCGGGCCGACCGGCGCTCTTGCTCCCACTGCGACGACAATGTGGACTTCGTCCCTCGACAGCTGGGTCTGACTGACACCAGGGTGTTCATCAGCAACCTGCTGGCTCACACCCTCTACAGCTTTGAGATACAGGCTGTGAATGGAGTCAGCAATAAGAGCCCGTACCCTGCCCAGCATGTTTCCATAGACATCACCACCAACCAGGCTGGTAAGTGGCTGCTACAGCTAGGTGTGGTTTTGGCCTAATGATGATCACGATGACTATTATTTACCATTTGCAATATCATCATCATTTAGCGTTATTAACTCAAACAAGTGCTTTATTTTAGTTTATAGTTCTGAAATGGCAAATTATACTATCATTATAATTAAATGCAGATACTTTCGTTTAAAAATATCACCATCTAACACAATTTGCAGTTCAGAGTCTTATTCACTGCATAATGGTGGCTGACTTCAGGGCTGCTTATATTTCACGTCGCTCCAGCGTGAATAATGACTTTAACGCTTGGAGCATGAGGCCAGTTGGTTTAGTGCAAGTTATACATTCATGCTCTCTTTTTAGACCTTCCGCCCTGAATCAAAGTAATGGCTTTCCCTTGTAAAGACACGATGGAGGAATTCAAGCTCAGACTCAAGACACAGCATGTTACATTTTGTTGGAGGACAAGTACAATTCACTGCACCATCCCTCTTTCTTTTGTAGTTTATTTACATATCAAATCCTTTGATGGAAAAAGCCAGAGTTTGCATTTCTCTCGGGGAATTCCAGCGATACTTGCTTTTTAACATTGCTAAAGGTAATAATACCTCCGAAAACAACACAAGTCATTTATGAAACCTCATTTTTTAGTTCACATCTGGAGGTTGCAACCTGGTTGCTTCACAGACTGACGCATCTCTTTGTTGTCTTTCTTTGGTCTTTGTTTAATGAGACTTTGTGTCAAGAGCAATGCCACACAGCAAGTCAGTACTTCTCTCTTCACAGGAGCCTACACCCAAGTTGGAACCTGTCTGTTAATCCTTATATTTATACACCAACACAGCTTTTTGAATTAACACAAAAACAACAAGAGAATACATCCAACTTAATTATATCCCTTTGAGTTACATCAAGCATTTGCCATGATCCTCAAAGCGATAATGTCTTCGTTGCAATGCTCATGACAATAGACACGTTGAAGTACATGTTTCACCTTTAGTGTTGTATAACAGTCATCCAGATGAAACTCTGTTCAATACTTTAATGTCAGACCGAAGGAGACTGAACCAAGATAGATACAGAGACAGCTGGGTTTGTGTGCATGTGTCTGCACATTGGCTTTGCCTGTGATGGATATGAGCCAAGCCAATAAAAATGACCTTCATCCGGTCATCTTTCTCTCTTCCTCCCTGTCTTCCTCTCTGTATAATTGTGTGTGCTTTGCCTCTAACTGTTCCTGTGATGGGACCTGAGCCCAGCCAATGGAAATGACAGGTCGAGGATATTGTTTTTTCCGGTCCTCTCAGTTCTTCATGCCTTTGTAGATCTTTGACTTCCACACATAAGCACCTCATCAAGGGACAAGTATTGACCAAGTGAAACATTTAAATGAGGCTCTGTGTTTCTGTGGATGAAGCCGACCCTGAAACTCACAGCGTAAGCTTTTTGGGACCTAATAACCGATATGAAGTGTAGTCACAGTGCGGCAAAACATATTGTTGGTTAAAGTTTATACTAGCAAGGTTCCCATAAGGAAAGAGAGTTACATGTTTGTCAGCTCAGAAACATTTGTTGTGTTTTCTGGTCAGCTTCACTGATGAAATACCTTATATCAGTATAGAATGAACTAATTTCATATTTATCTCAAAGACCATTGAAAAAGATTGCTGTATCCAGGTCCCGTTCGTATAGTAGTACATTTAGAAATACAATTTGGCCCAGTTGGTTGAGGGCCTACCGTATTTGATTACAATGACTCTCACAAAATGTACGGACCAACTGAACTTGTCTATGGGAATCAATCAGGGGAGAGGTGGGAGGGAAGACAGGGCTGGATGGAGAAAGGAATCACTTTTTTTGACCAGACCGCTAGACTGTGACATTGAAGGAGAGGAAAATGAGGGAGTAAATAGGTCTGATTATCAGGGTGGCCTAATGGGGCTGACTGTCCCCATTTGACAGGCTAATAGCACACTTGACAGATGGATGTAGAAGAAGCAATGCCCAGGCCTATTGTTGAAGTCTGCTGCAGTAATGAGGTGTCTGCCAGTAATCTGCTATAGGCTTATGTCCAGCCCTATATGGCCCTTTGTGGCCATGTAATTGCACTGTTCCTAGTTTCGGCAGGTGGTTTCCTCGGTTGGCCACTGCAGAGGCAGGAGGATACAGCAGGGAATTGTGGTAATAATGCACTTAAAAAAACCAAAAGCAGAGACACTCTTTAAAATGTGGAAGGCTTTTTTGTTGGTTGTACACGTTTTCCACTTTTGGAAATGTTGTAATCTTGTCCGTTCCCTTTGTATTTTTGTGCTCACACATGATGCAAGGTTGTGAGCGGTGGCGTAACAACACGCAAGTTCCATGTAAATGAAGTAGGAATAGGAGATGTGTTTATATTCTGGGCCCGAAGTACCGTGGAGATTAGATACAATACAAGTCATCATCCATACAGCAGGATCATCACCAATCCTACCCAATGAACTAAAATGGTTGAAAATTGATTTTAATGTGAAAAACAGTAATCCAAATGAATACAAAGGCACTGTTATCCAGGGTGTTGGTGCCCTTACTGTATGGATAGGAAGACATTTTCTCAATCCTATTATTAAAGCAGCATTATAAAAAACAATTTAGAAATGTACTTGATTTCTTCAGCATCAGATTTACAACTTTAGAACTTAACTGTGAGACAACAGCAAAGGATGGCACTGTTTGTACTAAACAGATGAACAATGCACAACCCTAATCACACATGATGTTCTCTCTATGCCGGAGCCAGGACTGGCAGTATCATCGACAGATTTCTTTGTTTATGTGACACGGACAATGTTAATGCGCATCTGGGAATAGACAGGTGCCCAGATATGAAAGATCTGGAAAGCTACTGATTCAAAATCGGTTTAATTAAGGAGGCCATGGAAGTTGACATACAAGCTCACATTTTGAAAAACCATAAAAATACATGGTATGATCAGTTTTAATTTTTTTTATAGTTTTAAATGTGGAATTCATTGCCAGATAAATGTGGCACAGTTAAAGGTGTGCTCATAATTTTTTTGTTATTTGCTGTTATTCTCAGCACAGCTGTTAAAAAGGTTTGAGAGAAGTTATTTCTCAGCTAATTATAACAATTCAACACACCCTCTTATTTATCTTACTTTACACCCATCACATTTTAGCTATCAATAACATACAATACATCTGTGATCACAGAACCATTTGTTCAACCCAATCAAAATGTGTATCCACCACTCCAAAATAAATAGTTATTGCTTCTACTCAGCTCAAACCACATCATCAGGTATTGGATTTAGTGGATGAATAGAGCCCTCCCATGAGATGTAGGCTGTTGACAAGAGTAATTGTATATTATTACCATTCTTGAACTGAAGTTCAAACTATAAAAAAACAGATAGGTGAAGTGGTCCTTTAAGTGAGATTACTCAGGAAAGAAAAGTTTGTGCTTGTCTCAATGGTGTCTTTGCCTTTTCAACTTGAAATGGCTTTAGTGTGGACTGTTGTAAGATTAAGGAAAACCAAGAGACCACCTAGAAAATAGAAAGGCAGAAGTAGTTAGAGGAGTTATGATGTGAGCCATAAGGAGACAAAGGTGAGAGGAGGAAAGTGGACGATGAGGAGAGGAGGGAGTAATGGAGGTTGGGAGGCAGTCGAAGGGATTTAGTGTAAATCACCAAGGAGGCCATTTAACTGCCCTCGATCCCAGCGTGTGTCTGTGAGGAAGGACTGATCAATAGTGTGATTTAGGAGTTCATTCACAGCTTATGCTGCAACACACACACACACACACACGCACACGGATATAGACATAGAAAGGTTATATACGGCCCCCTCTTATGCTATGAATCACCCCAGGCCTGAAGTTAGTCATATTTATCTATGATAGCTATTGAAAAGTATAGCCATTTGATTTCTCATTGAGAAATAGTGTGGTTTATTTTAGGGGAAGGACACTCTCCACTTCTCGTGGATTTATGAAATTGCTAGATTACCAGAAAGATAAATATAAGGTACTCAAGTTGAGGGCAATAATAGTACTTGTGAGGAAAACTGCAGACTTGGCAGACTTGTTTTTTTATGCAATCCATCCTTGACACTGCTTCATAGGAGGAGGGTATTTTCTCAACCTTCACACATATTACAACTCCTCTGTTATGTGGGGGCGGTTTGATAAACAATCATTGTAAAACAGATCATAAATCTAATGAATGGTGCTATCTTTTTAAACTGATGCCTGATGCTCAAGAGTTCTTTGATCTTACTGGCACAGCCTCTTGACCTAGATGATGTGCCAACAGTCTTTTAGACCACAGAATTCCATGTATATCTACAAACAATCCTCCTCCGCTGCTCTGTTTTGAGAGCTATTCCCACAGAAATGCAAACAACGCTATGCTCTTCCTTCTATGGGCAGACCGGGTGGGTTGCATTTAAGAAACTAAGATGTTATGGGCTGGACTGAAATCCAAACAACCAGATGAATTAAAGAGGTCTGTGCTTGTTGGATTTCCAAAATCAGATAGTGTTAGGCAACATGTACGTTGTGCGAGTTCAAGACACTACTCATTAAGTTTGTACAGTTTAAGCCTTACAGAGTTGCCTTTTTCCTTGTTCCTTCCCCCTCATTGTTTTTTCTATGTATCAGAGCTACAGTGTCAAAAGATTACATCATCTTAGACGGTTCTTCGGGCTCTCTCTGGGTGCCATTTTTATTTCATTTGATGCCTGTTCTCATAAATGTTGATCCTCTCCCTGGACCCTGAAAGAGAGATATTAGCTGCAGGCAAAAAGAAAATTGGGGGCTTGAATGCTGCTGGGCTTCCTCGTCAATTCTGATGTCTTAATACAGTTTGTGAAGTAATTCTAGGAAGTCAGTGTGTTTGTGAGGATGTAGGCTCAATGCAGTGCACAGGTTTGTCTTTCCTTCTTACTTTTATACATACAGTAGAGTTCTGTTCAGAATCCTCCACGTATAATGTGATTTCCAA